TTGCGCAGTAACGCATGTCCTCGCGCTGCGACACTCTTTGGAGCCTCGAAGTTACATAATTTGTAGAGGACACCTTGTGAACGGTTTGAATGAATAGCATACGGTCTGCTTCAAAAGGAAACAAATGAATTACCTTATCCTGGGCAAAGCTGCTTTGCTAGGAGCGCTGGCAAAGCTAGAGAACATGTAAAAATGGTAGGCGGCAGTCATGGTCCCACCGCGATATGACAATTTGTTCGATTAATTTTGAGAAATGAAATCTTGGTAAGAGAAGTGGTAAAACAATGTAGACAATCTTTTTATATTTATTTTGAGCGATGGAGAAATTTATAAGGGAATTTATCACACATTTATAGTTTACTCATTTTTCTGGCTTCTTCCATCATTGGTTTCAAATATTTCTCAAATGATGAAGGGACCTGAAATCAGCAGTTGTATGAAGGGTTTTCAGTGAGGGAGGAGTGTATTTACCTGTGTCCTATTTAATTCACTAGCTTGTGCCCATTTGTACAGATTCTCGTAGACGTGCCCATCTCTTCGTCCAAGAACCTTGAAAAATTAGTGGTTTGGCTTTCTACCCTCATAATATTTTTTACTTACCGATCGAAGTTCATGGTCCGAATAGTCCCATGCATCCACTAATGATACAGCATTAGGACGTAATTTCGAAAGTAATCGATACATATCTTCTTTCATGTAATTCAACTGTTGACCAGTCAGATAATTATCCTGTAAGCTAACGTAAGCTCCTGGGTAATTCTTGGAAAGTCAGAACTTACCTCGAGTAAGTAGTAAGCCATATCTATGAGCTCATAATTGAGATGGAGATGAAGTAGGTCCTGTAGGACTTCTCGGCAAGGACCGTCAACTATTGTCTGGACTTTGTCATAGAATTTCTGCGCGATGTACAGTCTGGTGTGGAGTCGAGATGCCTAAGTAACCATAAGAAGTCTAAAATTTAAGACTTCCTGTCTAGGTACTGAATAAAAAGTCGAAATCGTTCTTCATAGGCGACCATAAATGTTGGCAAAGACCGTTACAAGTAAATT